GGGGTTTTTAGCAATCCGGATGTCCGAAATTTTAAAAAATTCAAAAACAAATTTCTTTTTCCCTCTATTTTGAGCAGTCCTTCTCATTGTGAAATTGGCATTTTGACTCTGCGGTTAACACTAGATTTTGTTTTAATGAGTAATTTATATGTTTTTGTATTCACATTTATAGTTATAAAAAAGTTCTAAAAGTAAAAAAAGTTTTTTACCTTTGACATATACAAGGTTGTGTGAGTTTTTGCGAGGCATGGTGGATGTCCGGGGGGAGGGGGGCGGGGGGGTCACTAATTCGGACAATGCCGGACAAGGGGGGGAGGGTGGGCTGAAAATCCATCATTTGGCCGGACATCCTTTGTGAATGGCCCCTTATAAATTATTAAGAGGAGATTTTTTGTATGTTATGTAACACGCGCTCAAAACTAATGCGTATAATATACCACTTGAGGTTATAACTAAATTCAAAATTTTTATTTTTCGATACGTTTCTCAATCGGCAAACAAACTTAAAAAGTATGTTTAGTGCTTTATCTGTAAAATAATGCTAAAATGAAGAGATTTTAGATGATACGCCAAAGAGAAAATGACGCCTGAAGTTTTGCAATATATGGCTGTAAATATGGCGTCAATTTTAAAGCATCTTTGATAATTGTATTTTAATTGACAATTTTTAACTATTATTTTATGTTTCTCAACCGGCAGATGCATTTAAAAAGGTTGCTAACTCTATAAACTAGAGAATAAAGCTAAAACAAAGTAATTTTGAGAGGGACGCAAAAAAGATTTTAGGTTTTGAACACTTTTCATTGCAAATACGTGACATTGAAAAAAATTGCCTCTCAATGAGTTTGAGATATCTCAATACCTCTCAGAAAGACCCAAAGATTACACATACCAAAAGTCATTTTGGCATTTGAATCGTACCTTTTGAAACCAATGACCAATCGCATAGTCAAACATTTGGTACCAGACCAGTGGTCCATGTCCCAAGGGATGTGTTCGACCACAAACAGCACCGACATTAGGGTCCCGTATCAAACGATCAAGAAGAGCTTCAACAGAATCTGCGTCGAACCGAACGTCGGCATCTGTCGTCAGGATGTACGTGTCTTCCTCAAGAACTGGAGAAATATTTCCCAAACTTAGTTATCTTGGTAATATTTCTAGCTATAGTAGTATGCAAGAAGGTTGCGCAAAAAAGGTCTAAGCAAATTAATGCATGAGACACTACTCCCGCTCAATATATACGCCCCCTGCACCTCTATCGACTGAAACTTGTTCCTATAGATGGAAATTGTATAGATATAGAGTGGATTTTAATTTTACCTCCCATTTGTTTGATTTTAAAATCCAGAACGTACGACATGTACATAACTTGACTCCAGCGTTTCTTGTTCTTCACCTACATTACAAAGATACAATTAAGGCCTGTTCAGATGGGCAAAAGTTATCCCGGTTAACGAGAAAACTTTTCGACTAGCCAAATACTTTTGTTCTGTTCATATGGAGAAACGTTATATCCTGCTTACCGGGTAAAGTTTCCGGCTGTCACGTCAGCATTGAACATCAATTGAATTGAAAAGTTGCTGACACGACAGAAAGTTATCCCACTAAGCGGGAAAGTTGTGTTCATATGGGAAAACATTCCGGTCACCGAGATCTCGCCTGTCAACAAGCGAGATCTCGGTAAACGGGAAAACTTTTTGTCTCTTATGAACGCAGTGTAACTTTTCATATTATATATTCTCATACCAAGGCGAGATCTCGCTTGTAAACTTGTCGAAAAGTTTTCTCGCTAACCGGGATATAAACTTTTGCCCATATGAACAGGCCCTTAGTAACGGTATATAATAAAATGTCAGTTTAATAAGCCTCTAAATAGGAAGTTACCCATCATACCTTGCGTGCTCAATGTTTATAAGGTTTACGATTTTTGAATTAGCTGTATATTTATATATTGTTGTGTAATACTAGACGTGATGTTAATGTAAACGTTTAGCTACTGGTCGTCTACACACGGAAAAACGCACAAGTTGTTACAGGTCTGCAAACAAGTAATTGTTACAAATCTGTTCACAAGTTGTCAACAAGTTGTGTTCGCACTGCTTGTTCCCAGTTGTTGTAACAAGTTTGGAACAAGGGGTTAACAACTTGTAACAAGCTTGATGGCATTATCAGACTTGTAGCAAAGTTGTTCTAACAAGTCTGATACAGTCATGATATAAAAGAATGTTACAAGACTGATCATGACTGTATCGATCGGAGTTTTTGGAACAACCTTGCAACAAGTCTGATAATATCAACAAGGTTGTTACAAGTTGTTAACAGCTTGTTCCAAACTTGTTGACAACTTGGGACAAGCAGTGCGTACACAACTTGTTGGCAGACTTGCCACAAGATGTGAGACTTTTGCGTGTGTAGTAGGTTTGTAAGCTTGGTACCGTAATATATAATGAGTATTGCGATTGGAGTTCGACAACTGATCTCTGTAGCTCAGTTGGCTGGAGCGCTGCAGCGGAGTCGCAGGGCCGCGGGTCGTTCTGGTTTTGGTTAGGTCTAAATAATGTTTAAAATTCACACTCGACATTTCCAGCTATACAAAACCCTTCTGTACTTGTAGAATAATACACAGATACCTTTTGATTATAGACGGGATGTCTTAAAATGTATATATTCTCACTTGGATTACAAACTCTAACATTCTAATATTAATTCCACCAAGTGAAATGCAAGACTTCCAGATCATTGAAGTCCACCTTATCACAACCCGCACACCCGATTACCTATATATATATATATACATGAACTTAGGGTTACAGCTTAACAGCTGGCCTCTGTAGCTCAGTTGGTTAGAGCGCTGCACCGGAATCCCAGGGCCGTAGGTTCAATTCCTACCAGAGGACCTTGTGCTGCATTTTTCGCAGTCGTTCCTGGTTAGGTCTTACAATGTATATATTCTCACTTGGATTACAAACCCTAACATTCTAATAACCTTTTGATTATCTTTGAGATGAATGTGAAAATGCATTCCACCAGGCAGTCGCCATCTTAGTTCCATGCCATAAGGTGTCTCAAGTTTTGTGCACGCGTTCACCTTTACGTTCAGCGTTTTATTCACGAGCGATATTAACTGCAACACGTAACTAAAATAGACAGACATGTCACTCTGAGGGGCATGCAGATTTTATCCTTAGAGTTAGGCCGAGCTGAAATTTCAGCCTGGGAAACCGGGATGAAACTCAGGCCGGGCTGAAAACTCTCCATGTAGTCAGCCCCTACATAAGGGCTGTTTATAGGATCCTACACGAAAGCAATTTTTGTAAAGTGAAGACTGGTCCTCCTAGAAGTAGAACTCTCAAGAATCAGAATGAAATTCAGAGTTATTTATGAATCAGGTTTAAATCGTATTGGTTCTGTAATTCTAACCATTGCTGCGAATTTGCCGAGTGCTATTCGCGAATGCTATTTGCTGAGTGCAATAATATATGTAGTTATTTAATAGATAACTACTGAGGCCAACGGCATTATTCGATATATTGCAGCCAGCTGAGGCCGAAGGCCGAAGCTGGCTGCAATATATCGAATAATGCCGTTTGGCCGAAGTAGTTATCTATTATAATTACTGACCCGAATCAAAAGTAATTATTTTCGGACTACATTGCTGCTTGTTGGGACCGTATGACAATGAGTCATGACAATGTAATGCATCGTGATAGAACAGATTTCAGTTTAATTAATCGCCCTAAATTAAAATCTGCACAAGCGGAGGTCAATTATAGTGTTCTAGTTTACATATTATCATTAATGATAAGGTTAATTCAAAGAGCGTATTAAACTGGATAAACACGGGAATAGAACTTATGGTGTGTTCTGCACATGCGTATATCTAGTATAAAATCTCACAAGCGCAAACGAAACTATTTCTCTATAAAGTTGAGCTGAAAGGACTCACAGTGACTGTTTTGGCAGTGCTTCAGGCGCCCGATGATATTGTATGAGGGGCCTTTAGCACTGTCAACTTCTCATCTTGAGATGTTCACGTTATCGCGTGTACTTGTCAGGATGACGAAGGATTGCGAATAATGTCTCTGTGTGCACTGATACACGCTGCATTATTTTTAATAATGCTGTGTGCACGCTGCATTATTTTTAATAATGCTTTGTGCACGCTGCATTATTTTTAATAATGCTGTGTGCACGCTGCATTATTTTTAATAATAGCATAGTTGCCCGGGTTTCTTTTGTTTCAACAGGGACGTTTAATCACGTATCGCCCGCTGTAGCGGGCGATTAGTTCTAATCGCCCGCTAGAGCGGGCGATTAGAACTAATCGCCCGTTACCAAGGGTCACACCTCTGTCTCCCTGACGACTACGCATTAGGCAAGTGCCTCACGCACATAATCGTGCAAGGAACAGCAACAGTTGGCTCAGAGCCGTCAATAGTCTATCATCCGATCCCTGAGTTGCCGCATCATTTAAATTACGCACGTGCAGTCTCCAAATTTATACTAATATATTTAGCGTGTTTGTTGTGGTACGTTAAATGATAGATTGAGCATGCGTAACCGATTAAAGCGTAAAAAGTGCGCATGTGCAACAAGCTTTTACATCCCACAAGCAATGAAGCAAATGTTTTAGCTTAAATACGCTGATTCCAAGTAGGGCATGTTTGTCCATTTTTAAATGGGAGCGAAACTATGCTATTACAAACTAATAGCATGGCTTTTCGGGAGATTAGTGATTAAATGACCCCTTACCCTCGGCAGGTTTGCGGAATTCCCTCGGGCTTCGCCCTCGGGAATTCCGCAAACCTGCCTCGGGTTACGGGGCCATTTAATCACTAATCTCCCTCAAGCCATGCTATTACTTATAATAATGCTGTGTGCTATTTTAGCCCGTATAAACATTTACCCCTGGGAATTTCCCTACAATCAAAAAAGACCGCTCCCGTTTTTCAGAAGAACGCTAAAACTTCTCGACATTCGCTGATATAATGCAGAGAGAAAACAATAGGTTATTATGACCGTCAGTAATTATTTCATTATAATTTCGACCTCCGGGAAGAGCAGTTTATAAAACTGATAGCGGTATCCAACAGGCAACAATGATAAAGTTAAGCCATGGTCAAGCAAGGATTGGAGTTGATGAGAGTTGTTGAGTCTCTGGCTCGCGTTTAACTCTCATCGGCTCTCATGCATTCTCTCATGCAACTCTTTGACCGGGGCATGAGAGTTGAGAAAACTCTCATGCAAACTCTCGCTTCTCAATTATCATCAACTCTCATTCAACCCTTGTTCTCGTTTGACCGGGGCATGAAAGTTGAGATAACTCTCATGCAAACTCTCGCTTCTCAACTCTCATCAACTCTCATGCAACTCTTGTTCTCAGTTGACCGGGGCATGAGAGTTGAGAAAACTCTCATGTAAACTCTCGCTTCTCAACTCTCATCAACTCACATGCAACCCTTGTTCTCGTTTGACCGGGGCATGAAAGTTGAAAAAACTTTCATGCAAACTCTCGCTTCTCAATTCTCATCAGCTCTAATTCAACCCTTGACCTTGTTCTCGTTTGACCGGGGCATGAAAGTTGAGAAAACTCTCATGCAAATTCTCGCTTCTCAACTCTCATCAACTCTCATGCAAATCTTGTTCTCGTTTGACCGGGGAATGAGAGTTGAGAGAAAACCCTCATGAAAACTCTCGCTTCTCAACTCTCATGCAAATCTTGTTCTCGTTTGACCGAGGAATGAGAGTTGAGAAAACTCCCATGCAATCTCTCGCTTCTCAACTTTCATCAACTCTCATGCAACTCTTCTTCTCATTCGTTGGTAGGTATGCAACTACCTGGAAAATATAAGGAGAATTTCGTCCAGAGTTACAAGGAAGGCCGTCGCTCGAAACGTCGAAATTCTCTTTATATACGAAAGCTTGTACTCAGTACTGGACCTCTATACTCTGGGAAGAGCAGTTTAGAACTGATAGAGGTGCAGAATGAATGAATTAAAGTTAGCTTATTTCACCTGTTGAGGACATTTCTCTTCACAGCGCCATCGAACCAGACATGCGACTCAATTCTTCTCATGCTTTCTTGTCTTGCAATGTCGACACGACGTATGGAATGCAGCAACTGTTCCATTTCGTAGTCGGCTTCATGATACATCGTTGTACAGATAAAAATACAACTGTCCTTTGCGAGTTTGTTCTGATTCACGAAATATTCGTCTGTCATTTCATTCTTGCGGTTGAGGAGCAAATTCTGTTCCAGCATAACACCTTAAGAAATATATATGAAGCCCGATTTACACTACACAACTTTTGCGTAAAACTGTCGCATGCAACCTGCTTACAACTTGAGTTGTACTGGAAAAAACAAGCACGCGACAGTGGCGTAACTCCTATGAGCTCTACCCGGTAAGAGCCGGGGGCACCCAGGCCATCGGGCTTCCAGGGGGCACCCTGAACTGAGTTGTCCGGGTGCCTTGTTCATCTAATTTTGTACAACTCGCTAGTCTTTTTGTCTGCCTTTGCACTGTGACACGTCACATGAGCGGTGAATACCAGCATTTCCTTTCCAACGGTAAACGTCTCGTTTCGAACGTAAAAAAAAAACGTGCGAAAATGTTTGCGGTTTGTGCTTGAATGCAAATAGCTGTAAGTACAGTGGCAAATATTTTACTGTTTATGTTAAAGACAATTTCTGCATGGTGTTATTAAATCAGTTATTTTATGGTTGTATTTTTTGTATTTTGCTATATATTTATATTTCCAGTTTTAAGAAGCTCATTAAAATTTGCTTCTAAACGACCAGCAAAATGTTCATATTGTCAGAGCTTCATGGTATACTTCAAAAGGATGTAGGATCCTAATTCCGGTACGACCAGGGGCAGCCCGGTCCAAACTTACGCGCCTGGCACATGACTCGCTTACGGCTACGACAACGTAAATTTTTTGTATTTTCCCACACCTATATATACTCTATCGGGACTGCATTTCGTGCGTTTTGCAATTCACCAAATTACATCATATCCGGAAAGTTTGACAGTGAAAAAGTTGACCAAGACGGGACTATTTATTATAAAGATGTACTACATTTCTTCTTCTAATGACCCAAATATTACACATACAAAAAATCATATTAGTGGTTAGTAGCACGTTAGTATAAGTACTTGCATGGTATGTTTATGTAACTACCACAAACTTGATCACTAACTTATTTAGCCTAGCCTTCCAACAACTCAAATCTATAGGGTCTGGAATAAGGGCTATACCCACTTAGAAATTTTTAAAATCTAAGGTATTTACAACACATTAATGTTCCACACTTTT